TGGAGATCTGAAACCCCCTCATCGTATTTCTCCTGAGCCTGCAGTCCTGATAGGGAGCCTGAAAGGGTTTACGGCATCCCCTGAGGCATGGCTGAGCCGCAGTCTTTTGAAAAGATTTGGGTTAGTCGCACTGGGCTGCCAAACGTGGGCTGCACCCTGGAATTCCTGCAGCTCCCTGGAACTCAGCTGACCCCAGGAGGTCAAGGCACTGAGAGGGATGGGAGAGAAAGCTGACTCACACCCCCACCCCCATGCCTTTAAATCCTAGTCGGAATTGAATAGAGGCACTGTTTTCGCCCCTCCCACCCACCAGCTGACTGCCCGAAGCCCACCCTGGCCTCCTCCCACACCCTCTGCTCCCGCTCTGGAAAGTTCCATGCTCCTTTCATAAACGTTGCCTCAGACTGTCACACCCAGACAGTGGGAGGGAGGCCGCAGCCCCACCTTGTCTTAGTTGCCCCAACAGAAATGGGGTCCAGTTCGGGAGAGGCACTTCGAAGGACAGGGACAGGAGAGTTCAGCGCGCACCTGCCCTCCAGGCTGAACGCATGGCTCCTGGGGCCCCACAAACATTACCATCTCCTATTTTTTGGGTAAGGGAACTCATCAGAACTAGTGGAGGATGGTCTGGTTTCTATTGAGTAAGTAATTGATCTTGACATGAATTAGAAGGCGGTGTCATTATGAAGACATCTAAGAGTCAGCTCTGGGGTCCAGCTGGGTTAGGGTTAGGAAACACCCCAGAATGTAACACTTGCTCAGAGCAGAGGACTTGGTGCTGCTGGATTTTAGAGGCTTCCACACGTGGCCACTCCCCGGAGCACACACTCCGCCCTCAACACATCACCAGCATCTCAGACCAGCGAGGACCCTCTGCCTGTGGACCCCAGACGTGGCCTCAGAAACCTCAGCCCCTCTACCAACGGCTGGTATTGACTCTGGAGCAATCCCTCGCGTTGCTTATGGGGTGACTCAGCCAATGCCCTCTCCCCCGAGGCCACGCACCACTGATTCCACCTGTGCAGAGTCACCTTGACAAGATCTGGGGGCTGGACTGCCCGGGTGGGGCACAGGCACCCACCCATCGGAGAGCAGAAGTGTTTACAACCCCGAGAGCTCTCCTCTGAGTCCTGCTATGCTGTCAGATTTACAAGCGGCATCCTGGGGTGATGAGTAGTGTTATTTATGATATTTATGAATACACCTCTGTTCTTTCTTTGACCCTCACACCTCCAAAGCACCACTTGAAGCAAGTGGGAGTGACTTTCCTTCCAGAGCCACCCGTGAGAGCCATGTGCACCCCGGGGACATCTGTGCTGGGAGGTTTAAGCTCCTGGAGCGTGTCCTGTGAGCTTACTACACTGTTGCAAGGAACCGAATTGCCCTAGATGAGCGTTTCCAGGTGAGGGCTTCCGAGGAGACAAAGCCTGGGGCTTCGGCACCTTCCACCCCTTCTCTCCGCTGGACTCTTCAATCCACACTCTTCCCAGTCACTCGCGCTCTTACTGACCATCCGATTTTAAATGCCATTGAACCGTACATCAGAGACACCCAGGCCAGGTCCCCACTGCCCAAACTAGAGCGAGGAGACGGGGAAGCCCATGTCTTCTAAACACCGCTCGAGAGTGAGGGAGCCACTGTTGCCCACTGTCACCTACGTGTTCGTCATGGAACTTAACCTGGGTGCAGAAGAAGGGAAGACCCTCCGAGCAAGGAGGAGCCTTCTTCGCCGCAGCTGCCCCATAATTATAAATTATGCCAAAGGTAACAAACAGCGTAACCAGGACCGCAGGCGTGTGGGGCGATCTGGAGGTTTAGATGTTAACAGCAGCTAAGAGGGTCTGTGTCTTTTTTCTTAATTCCTGGATCTCAGTCGTCAAGCAGATGCTGGGAGATTTGAGGGGTGCGGGGCTCCCTGCATGAACCTTTAGGCTGGAGAGAACCGAGGCAGGGCACCCAGTGCACCCTCGAAGGCGCCCTCCACCTCCTGGGGTGAAAGGGCTTGTCCGGTTCACCCAGCCTCAGTGGCAGGAAGCAGACCACCCCCAAGGGGTCTGACACACCCACCCCCCGCAGGCTCTTCCCCTTCGAAAAGCCAAGCTCCAAGTTCAGAGCAGGCCGAGCAACGGGCCACACAGTTAGAGACACGGCTCTCAAACCCTCTTCCAAAGGCCCTATGAGCTGCCGTGACGGCACCAGGCGCCCCCTTTCTTACTGGTTCTCAGTGGTGTTGAGCCGTTTCTCTACTTTTTCTTCTTCTCTCTCCATCTTAACAAGAACATGAACTCGGGTGTCAGACAGACCGTGGAGCTGCACCTGGGGTCTGTCACCTCCCTGCTGGGCCACTGGGCAGGTTACTGACCCCCTGCGCCCCCCTCTGCCCATTGAGCCTTGGTTTCCTCATTTCGAGACCGAGGACGACAACACAGGGTCACCGGGGCGGCTTCTACCTGACCCAGATTCAGCTCCTGGTGTGCGTGGGGGGATGCATGACACTTGATGACACTCCAAAAATATGAACCCTCGTGACTGGTTTTCTCCCTAGTGCTCTAAGCTCCTGGCCAGTTTCTGATACGTAATAACCTGAAAAACTGAAGAGATGTGGACTTTCCTGTTCCATTTTCTCCCCCTTACCTGAGCCATGGGAATGACCTCACGGCTGCTGCTTCCGGTGCGGGGGGAGCATCTGCAGGGCACCTCTCAGAGCCGGAAGCAGCTCCTGTCCCCCGCAGCACCCATCACAGCTGGCGTGTGTCTAATTCAGTTTAGCCAGTAATTAGCTGTGGATTACTTTACATGGGATGTTAACTAGTGATTACAGGGCCCGATAACTTTAGGAATAAATACAAGCCAGGGCAGAAAATTACCTTCCTTTTTAGTGCGGAGAGCTAAAGCGCGTGGGACAAGGGGCAAATTGCTTCCGGAGATGAACCGGCCTCCTGGTGCTGAGAAGTTACAGCTCCCGCCCCCCCGCTGGTACAGAGCCTTCTCCCTGGAAACAGGAGCAACTCTCTCGTGCGGGCTGTTTGCGTGTCTGGAGATGGTCTCTGGCCAGCCCCCGAGGCAGCGGCCAACCTCAGTGCAAAGACGGGATCAATCCCATGCATGCTGAACTAACTGGTTTAGGAAAAGACCCCCATGGTCCTGAACCCCCCAACTCCCTGGACCACTGACACCCCAGCATCCAGGGCACACGTGGGCCTAAAATCTGAGGGACACGAGGGGCTGGGGCACATGAACAGGACGTCAGTGGGATCATTGGGCCAAAGTTTTGATTCAAGCAGGTGACAAAATTCATGCTTCCGTCTGAATGGATGGTTTTATTCTTGTTCAATTTGTTCAGGGCAATGGGTTGGGGTCTTCCACTCTGGCTGAATCTGAGGAGGAGCGAACAGATTTGCAGTGATGGGATTCTGAGGGGCTAACTCCATGCCAGCCCCTCCGTGACACCTGCCTGTCCAGACACAGCACCCATCACCCACCCCCACCTGCCCGCCGCCGAGTCCACTCCCATCTCTTCTCAGGTGCTGAGACCTGCACACAGCTAACCAAGCTCCGGAAGAGCCCACAGCAGTCGGCCCGTAAAGCCTGAGGGCACTCGACAGCCCCGGTGACAGCTGGTGCTCGAGGGTGCCCTGTGCTCCTTCACAGCTGGAGCCCCGCCCTATCCCAAGGGGTCGGGGTCGTCATGTCGTTAAGAAAGACCACTTCTGGCTTGGGGACTAATGAGAAGAGATCCACTTCACTCCTGAGATAAAGCAAATCCCTCAACACCCCTTTGTCGAACTCCAGATACAAGAGCCAAGGTTCTGGGCCCTTCTCCACGCCGCGGCGTCTGTGTGCAGCCCCGCTGCTGCCCACCTGTTCCTTCCCGTCTTCCTGCCCCGGCTCACCCAGGTGCAACCTTGGACCCCGCGCACACGGCACCCCTTCTCCAAAGCGTTCTCAGCTCCCTCCACTCTGACCGCAGAGCCCTCATGGCTCTTAAACGAATAGATATGGCAGAGCCTCAGGTCTCCCCACTAAGCACCGTGGCCCGGATGACAGACAGTTGTACTCAGCATCGCCAGCCTGGCTTTGACCGCGTCAAGCCCGACCAGCTGGCATCTGAGAGCTGCATGTGGCAGGAGAGGAGGACAGAACCAGAGTGCGGGTTTGTAGGGGGGAGCCATCTTCGAGCATCAGCTAGCTTCGTCCTCCTTGTTTTAAAAGGGTAGACGTTCAGGCTGAAGCTCAGAGCCTTTCTCAAGGCAACCAGACAGTGGCTGGTGGGATGAGGAAGGGGAAGGGCAGCCGGGTCCAAGGTCATTGTCACAGAGCTGCCCACTCCTTTCATGCCATCACACATGGGGGATGATGTGGTTCTCTCAAGGCAAGGCGAGCTGGGCTGGGGTGGGCGGGGCTCAGGCAGCCCCAGCGCTGCCCCACCACCCCCAAGATGAGAGGTCAACTCCGAGGACACTTCTCAAGGAGCTTGAAACACCAGCCTTTTATTGAAAATCACAGAACAGGACCCAGTCAAGCATCTTTCCACCTGAGGACAGAGTTCATCTGGGCCCACAAACCTGGCGCGTAGTAGGCCATCCATCAGTAGCTGGCATTTGACTGAGTGGCTCATAAGCGCGCTGTCGGGAGAACAGATGGCCCGGCCATGTGCTCTACACTCCCCCCTCCCCCCGCCCGGCTGCCTGAATCCTTCAAGCAGCGCCTGTGAAGTGCAGGTAAAACCCATACGTTTCTGACTTGTTCCCATCTGGACGGGTCCTAACCCATAAACGTGGTGGCCCTGGAACCTTGTGTCCACGTCCCTTGGAAGGGCCCTAAGACTGAGGGTGCCGCTGCGGGAGCAATTTACCTAAAGTGGAAGAGGGAAAGGGTGGAGGGGACACAGACACAGCTCAGTCACCGCTGCTCTGCTCTCCTTTTCCTGACGCGCAGAGGTATTTCACTCATCACCCAGGTAGGCGGCATTTCTCCTGACACCATGCAATGTGGCTTCCTAGGATCGAATTACTTCGGGATCAAGAAAGCAAGGTTCTTAGGTAGGGGTGTCCCCAAGGAGCTCTCAGATTATTCAGAGCAGCCCAGCCCTGGACCCACACCCACTCCCAATTCCAGCTCCTGCCTTAGAGGTGACTGGTAAAGGTGAGAGGCACCTGGTCTGACCCCAAAGAAGCCCACCTGGGCAGGACCGGGGTAGCCGGGATCCCTGGAGCTGGTGGCTGAGCCAGCCACTCTCTGACCCCTCCACAGATTTGAGCTGGCTGGAGAGATTTTCGCCAGGTGAGCCTTTGCTCCAGAATCCCACCACAATTGGGGATGCTGGGCTCCCAGTGGAAGATTCTGAAAGCACAGCCTCAGAGGCAGGCGCGGGGAGGGCAGGGACTGCCTCCCGGCTGTGTTGAGGAAGGCATTTCCCTGAGAGATGCCACAGCTCAGCTTCAGAAAGAGGAGCCTTCCAAAAAAACAACATCATTTGCCTTCCTGGCCCCTGGAGGGCCTGGGCTCCGGGAGCTGACCAGGGTCCTGAACGGGATGGTGTGGCTGTAGCCGCGTGGGCAGGGGCGGGCCACATTCAGATGGCTGGCGCCGCCAACGTGGACAGGCGGGAGCTCTCACCACCGAGACAAAGCTTCCAACTGAAGCTGAACCAAAAGTTTCTTCCAAGACCGGGGGATCTTTAAAAAGGCTGAGAAGTGAACCTCTGGAGGAGGGCGGGGAACGAGGGCTCAGGGAGCCTGCAGGTGAGGAGGCCAGTAGGGCTTGGAGGGCCCAAGGGCAGCCACTTCCAGGGCCACCCAGACTGGCCATCTCTTTCCCGAGATGTCTAAGTAAGGCACACGCTGCCCGGCTCCATGTCTGTGGGGTGCGCGCTTGTGGAAGAGTGTGTGTGAGTGTGTGTGTGCACATGCATATATAGTGTCCATTCACAGAGCACGAGTGTGCCCCTTGGCCAGGCCTTCCCTGCAGCCAAGAAGACTTCACTCCCAGAGACCATGCAGAACCTCTCCAGGGGCCTGGCCGGTTGTCTGCCTGGCACCAGCAGGGCCTCCGAGGTTAGGTGGGACAATAAACCCTTCCGACGCTGGGGCCCAGGCTGCACTTCCCGGGAGAGCTAGGGAGCCGGCAAGGGCTTCAAGGCAAAATGGGAAGCTTATTCCAGAGCCTTCTCTCCTGTGATCTACCTCTCACCCTCGCGTCTCTCCTTTGTTTCCTCTTTTATTCTGAGAGGGAGGGAGGCACGGAGGGAGAGAGGGAAGGAGGGTCGGGGCAGCTGGCTCTTGGGGCCAAGGTGCTGGCAGCCCATCCACTTCCTGGACTTGCAGCCTCTCCCAGCTCAGACCGTGGCACAGTGGCACCATCCAAAGGGCATTTTAATGTCACTCTGAGCAGCCTGGCTCCCGAAGCTGGCAGGCTCTTCCCAGCACCCCGGTGCCAAAGCAACACCTCCAGTCCGGCGCTCCCAGACAGCCCTTCTCCTCCCAGACGTGCCAGCTCCGAAATGCATTTTTAAAATGGAGAATACCAGCCGGAGACAGGCTCTCTAACGGTACATTGTTCAGGGATGGCGAGCCCACTTAAAATGCCCAGCGGTCCCCACACACGCTTGCCACTCACACTTCATGCCGCGAATGTGGCCACAACCGCCCCCCAACCCTCCACATGGAGCCCACAATGCACCCCAGCCCCAGACACGCCGCCTGCCCTCCCCGGTCTGGTCTCCGCGGCACCATTCCCACCGCCAGCCCAGGGAGCCCCAAGGGCAGCATTATAGCCAATGCAGGAGGCTCCAGCAGAGGGATGCAGGGGGTGGGAGTTAGGTCAGATCCACCTCTGCAAATGCCAGGGGCTCGGACATCCTGCTCTGTCTTCCTCCCAGGTGACAGTAGCAGCCAAATGGCGACCCCCACCCCCAATGCTGCCCTTTGAACTTCTCAGCAGGGAGTGGTCAGCCCGGGAGTCCAGGAGGGAGGGTTCAGGGCTGAGGGTCCTGGGGGACGCGGCAGCACTCTCGGGTCAGCCTTCACCCCTTCCTCCACCCCAGGCGCGGCTGGCACTCTGGCCCTCTCCCCAAGCCCTTGGCTGGGCGCCCGGGCAGGGGTGCCGGGCCGCGCGGTAGCTGCTCCCCGACTTTGCCGGGCTCCCCGGGGCCGGGCGGGCGCCTCGCAGGCAGGGAGGAAAATGGCGTTGCATGCACGTACTTGAGTGAGTTCCGTGCCCATGAGGATGAGGAAGAGGAGGCTGAGGAGGTTCCGGGCCGGTCGCATGTCTCGCGAACACCTCCCACGTCCTGGCGTGCGGGGAGCCCTGGGCGGCCGGCGACTGCGTGGACGCGGACGCGCTCCCGGCTCTGCTGGCTCCGCGGCGGCGCCCGGCGGTGTCCCCGCGCCTTCAGCACCCGGAGCAGGCGGCGCGCAGGGTCTGCTGCGCGGAGCCTCTGCTCTGCATCTCGAGCGCGTCGAGCGGCTCCGCGGTCGCCCTGCTGGGCGTGCGGCGGCGGCGGCGGGCGGCGGGCTGCGGGCGGGCCGCCCCTAGGCCCCTCCTCGGCCCCTCCTCCTAGCGGCCCCGTGCCCGCAAAGCTGGGGCGAGCAGCTGGGCGGCCCGGGTGCCAAAAGTTTGCTGGGGAAGGGGAGGGGCGGGGGGGCGCAGAGGGCCCCGCGCGCCACGCTCACGCGCGGGAGTGGGGAGGGCGGCGGCGGGGAAGCAGACCGGGACAGGATGTGACATCAAAAAGGCGGGGGAAATTTAATCGGAGAGAAAACTCCACCCTGGCTGGCCGCGGCGGCGGCGGCGGCGGCGGCGGCGGCGCTCCAGGGCCCTGGAAGCTGGGATGGGGACGCAGGCGGACGGCGCTGGAGACCCGGGCCCCCCTGGACTCAACGAGTGGACGCGGAGTGGGGATGGGGAATGGCAGCTGCGGGAGGTGACCTTAGAGGCCACCCTTTAATGAGATAAACTGAGGCTGAGACCCAGGAAGGATGATTGGCGGTGGGCGGTGGGATTAAAGGGGGGTGTTCAGAGCTAGAAAGTGGGTCATCTGGCACCGACAGGTCTCCTTCTTCTCCTTCTGCGGTGGCTAGCAGAGGGCGAAGAGAGAACAGACATGTGTGCTGGGGGTTCTGTCCCCAGGTGGGGCGTGTGCGTGAAGGTCTGTCCTTGTTTTCGCGATTCGTGTGCATACGTGAAGGTGGGCACGCACAGGCCCGTGGGTCTGCCCTGGGGTGTGTGCACATGGGTTCAGATGGAAGCCAGACAGCTCTGCATACCCAAGATGCCTTCGCTGACCAGGTGCCTAGGAGAGTGTGGTGGGCTTCCAGACCACCGAGCCCCATCAGTTGTTGTACCCCCAGGCCTGGAGATCACCCTCCAGCTGGTGAGATGTGCTTTCTCCCTTCCCCCCTCTCTGTGTCACCCCCAGGCTCTCCTTTCACATGTACTCCCAGCCCAGATCCAAGTCTTAGACCCCAGGGAGCTTATCCTGGGGGCCACATTTTCCATTTAAATCCCCCATTTGGGGGGAGAAGTCCCTAAGCACCTCTGTTTTCTGAGAAGCTAAGACGGCAATAGGTATTTAGAAGCACGTTTCTTATCTCTTTTCCAGTGTTTAGCGTTTACTCTTTGGAAAATAAACTATAAAAGAAATATCTAGCAACAAGAGGCTCCAGACCTGGTAATTACAGAATGCAGAGCAGCAGGGGGTGATGCGGCCCAGCCCTCTTATATCACAGATGGGGAAGCGGGAGCCTGGGGGCGTAACTCACATGGGGTCACCAGAACAGGCGATCTCAGAGCAAGGATGGGATGCCAACCCCTGCCCTGTCAGCGTCCACCCTGGCCTTGAGGGGGCTCTGCCTTCAAGGAATTCTGTCCTCTGAGCCAGGGGACAGAGTTACAACCAGGGAAGCCTGGTTGGCCTTTCTGGTCCAGGGCTGGCCTTTCTGGTAAGGAGTGAGCTTCCCAGCCCTGGAGGTGTTTAAGCAGAGAGAGTTCCTGTGGGATGCCCCCAGACTGAGTGGACCCTGTGGGTCTGAGATGAGATGGGAGGAAAGGCGAGGTACAGCTGCGGGGGGCTCTTTTCTCTCTGCCCTTCCTCTGTCTGACTTACCTGCGTGTTCTCCTTCTCCTCAGTGAGAGAAAGCTGTTTGTCAGCCCCATGGCCTCTGGGCTTCTGGTGACCCATGAGAGACGCTGCATTTGGAGCTGGAGGGGCTGCTGCCTGGTCCTGGCCCTTCCTGGGAGTGGCTCTCTGAGCCTCATTTCCACTCCTGTAGAATGGGGTTGAATGATGCGGTGCTGCCTGTCTCACAGGCTGTTGACAAGATCAAGGGCAGGAATGGGTAAAAGTGTTTTATAAGCCTGAGAGAAGGATGAGGAAGGAGCTGACTGAGCCTTGCAGCGCCCCAGACTCCACCCAGTCTCTCCCTCAGCAGCCGCCAGCGGCGCAGAAAGGGACAGAGGCTCAGAAGCGTGGGCGGCATGGCCACGGAGATGGGATGTGACCCAGTCTTGGGATTTTGTTTTATGGACGGGGGAGGAAGGCTGTGTTCATTTCCTCAGGTGGACTGAGAGCTAAGATGTAAGAGTAGCAAGAATTGCTTTTTGTTTTAAAAATCATACAACCACAGCAAGTCCCCTACGTATGAACGAGTTCCGTTCCCAGAGCGCGTTTGTACGTCTAATTTGTTTATAAGTCCAACAAAGTTAGCCTAGGTCCCCAACTAACACAGTCGGCTAGATAGGACTGTACGGTAATAGGTTTATAATATTTTTCACACAAACAATACATAACAAACAAACACAAAGAATAAAGAAAACATTTTTAATTTTACAGTACAGTCCCTTGAAAAGTAAAGTACTACAGTACAACAGCTGGCATCCAGGGGCTGGCATCGAGGGAGCAGGCAAGAAGAATTACTGACCAGAGTGGGGAGAGGAGGTGGGAGATGGTAGAGCTGAAGGATCGTCAGCAATAGGAGATGGACGGCAAGCTGCAGTTTCACTCATGCCTGACGTTGATAGAATGCACGTTCGCGTCTTTGAAAGTTCGCAACTTGAAGGTTCGTAGGTAGGGGACTGACTGTATGGGAAGCAGTAATTCCATGTCTGGGCAGATACCCAAAGGAGTTGACAGCGGATTCTCACAGAGATATTTGCACACCCATGCTCATAGCAGCGTTACCCACAACAGCAAAGAAATGGAAGCCTGTGTCTGTTGATAGATGAATGAATAAACAAAATGCAGTATTTATAGAATGGAATATTATTCAGCCTTAAAAAGGAAGAGGATTCTGACACAGGCTTCAAGGATAAACCTTGAGGACATTACACTGTGTAAAATGAGTCAGTCCCGAAAGGACAAGTGTTGTATCGTTCCACGTACATGAGGTTATCTAGAATAGGCAAATTTCAGTTCGACAGATCTGAAAGTCAATTAGAAGTTACCAGGGACCGAGGGAGGGGAGGATGGATAGGGAGTAATTACCTGATGGTACAGAATTTCTGTCTGGGGTGATGAAAAATTTGGAAATAGCAGTGACATTTGCACAAGATGGGAAATGTCATTAATGCCACTGAATTATACTTAAAATTTTACTAAGTATATTTATATATTTTACTATATTTAATTTTTACCACAATTAAAATAATAATGTGATATACCCAAACCATTGAATTGTATACTTTACCTGGGTGAATTGTATGGTCTGTGAATTATATCTTAAGAAAGTTGTTTTAAACAGTTACACAGACTCATTATTTTATTGCTTTAAAAATTAACATACAAAGAAGAATGTAGCAGCAGCAGCAAAAACCCACTGCCCAGAACAAGCGGTGCTGTGGCTGGGTGGTCGTGATAAGACATTTTCTCCGTGCGTAGGTGCAGAGGAAATACCAGAAAGAAGTGTCAGATCATGTCCCCTAAAAGCAAACCTGACCCCTGCTGTGGGGGGGTCACCCTCCCATGCCCGCCCCTTCTGCGGGATGAGGCAGCCCCTACCTGCCAGCTGTGAGCAGTGGGGGGGGGGGTGTCGCAGCCCCAGGAAATGCCCAGGACGTGCCAGGGTCACAGGCTGGAGGCAGAGGACAGGTGAGCAGGCGCTAATGGGAGGGCCTGTCACCCCCACACGCAAGGAAATCCTAGCTTGCCCTTGAACTTGACAGAGGATGGGAAAAGAAGTCAAACTGAAGATGGTGCTACCTGAAAGCTCGTTTATCTTCAGGGCACAAGCTACAATCTCCTGGAAGAACCCTGTAATACGGAGGAAGAAAAGTCTGCATGGACCCTTCCCCACCTGGTGGTGGACGCGCCTCTGCCCCGGGCTTCCATCCCGCCCACGTTGGCCACACCTGCTTTGAAAGAGGGCCATGTTCCTTTCCTCTTCCTCTGGCCTCCCCTCTCCCTTCTCTGCATTTTCAGGGCGTGTATTATTTTACATGATCGGGGTTTATCATATTCATATCCACTCCTGCCACCCAAGTCCCCTTGTGTTTTGGTCCTTGTTCTGGGTCCAGTGCCCACCCCCGTGCCCCCAGCAGCCCTTCCTGAGTCCTTTGCTCCCGTTCACTGCTTTGGGGGTGGCTGAAGTCGGTGTGCAAGGGGGGGCCGCGGCCCCCCATGCGGCCACACCTCTCTGCTGACCAGGCGAGGCTCCTGTCTTTCTTCTCACCCTCCGGTTCTCCCACCTGGGAGTCTATGAAGCCCCCTGAGCAATGGCTCCAGGTAGAAGTGGGCTTGGGGCTTGGTTTAAGCATCAGTGACCTCTTGTCCTTTCATGCCAGCCCTGAGCCCCTTCAGCCGGTACAGCAGGTCCCGGTCACCCCAGCGCCTCTACTGCTGTCCTCAGGAACTCAGGCGAGAGCTCAGAAGGAGCTGAGCTCCTGCCGAGACGCCTCAGGACGCCGCCACAGGACGCTTCGTTCTCCTTTAAGACGGGCCTCCTTCCTCTGTCAGCCTCATTAGAATGTGACAGAGAAGTTGCCAAGGCAACGGCACTAACTCTCCCCTCTCCTCCTTGCAAATTTCCTAGCAAGTGGGCCCCAACCCACGTGAGTTGAGTCGTCCGGGCCTCTGGTGCTCAGAGCCGGCGGGCTACACGCTGCGCCTTCCTCCAGGCACTGTGCCCAGCCCCCATCTCCCAGGCCTCCACCCTCCCTTCTCAGCCTCCCTGGGTGCCCACTGTCCTTGTTGAACTGAATGGCAGGGGTTGACTGAGACCCACTATGTGACAGGTCTGGCCAGACGGAAGCCGTCTCCGGGCTGCGGGCACCGGCCTGGCAACGGCCATGGGCTCAGACCCAGGACCCCAGCTTCCTCCCCTCATCAGCGTGCGGGCTGGTGTAGCCGGGCGGAGGCTTCTGACCTTGGGAAGTCGTCTGGGGAGGAAAGGTGGCCGGTTCTGGGTGCAATGCGCTGTCACGGCGGAAGTGGCGAGCACGGCAGCAGAGACCACGGCGCTGGTAGCTTTCTCATCCCTGTTGTGTGCCCGGCCTGTGCTGAGGGCTTACAGGTCTTCTCTCACAACCCCCCAGGCCTGGTGGGAGGTGACGTTCACTTTGCAAGTATTCCTCCGGGAGCCAGTGGCACCGAGACCCCCCTCCCTTGGCTGCGGCCCCGGAAGCCTCCCCCGCAGCCTCCCCTCCTACCTGTCCAGCTGGGCTCCTTGGACCCCCTCTCGGGCCTCAGCCCCCCGGCCTTCCCCAGCCTCCCTGCCCCCAGATGACTCCTGTGACGGCTCCGGCTCCGTCAGTCCCTGTGAAATAGTGACTTCCCCCCGAGGGCGCCCTGTGCTCCCGGGAGTCCGGCCTCGGCCCCCTCCCCAGCTGCGACTCCCCAGCTGCTCCTACACAGTGGTCCCCTCCCCACACACACGGCACTGAGCACATCGGGGCTCCTACCAGGAGACCCGCAGTCCCGGGCGCTGTGCCTGCTCTGTCCCGGGGCACTGTCTGCCCCGTTCGCACGGCCCTTCCCCGACATGAGTCTGCTCCTCCCCGTGGGGCCATTCCCACGGAAGGTGGCCGTTTTCTCCCCTCTTATTAAGAACATCTCTTTCCCTTTCTTCCCTACACCATCGCCACACCTCTCTGCTCCCCTTTCCAGAAATCAAGGTCTCCACTCACTGTGTCCACAGGCTCTCCGCCTGGTGTCTCCTGAGCCCACTGCTCAGAGCTGCTGTGGTCCAGCTCAAATTGCCAAACCCAGCTATCAAAAATGAGTCTTTATCTCACTTGAAAAAATCAGCGGCACCCCAGCGGGTTAATGTCCCCTCCTCCCTGGAGCCCTTCCTTCCTCTGGACACGGCAGGCCACACCCCGTGGCCTCCACCAGGCCCTCTGTGGTCCTCACCACCTTCCTGCCTCCTGAAGGTCTCTGCCAGGTGCTTCCTCCAGGCCCCGACACCAGCCACATCTCTATGCTGTCGCGCATTTGCACCTGGTGCCGACTCTTCCCTGAACCCCACACTGGTAGCCGAGTTCCAGCCCGACCGCTGCCCGGCTGGTACACAGCTCTGTGCACCCCACCCAAGCCAGGCCAGCTCCCGCCACATTGCTCCCCGTTCTGGTGCACAGCGATCCCACCCTTCCTATTGCTCAGACTAACTCCCCAGGAGTCATGCCGGCGTCTCTCTGGAGGCTCCAGGGAGGGTGTTTCCTGCCTTTCCACTGCTGGTGGCCGCCGGTGCTCCTGGGCTGGCGGCTGCATCGCTCCAGCCTTCCAGGCCGGCACCTGCAAACTCTCTGCTCCATCTTCCCCTCGCTTCTCCTCTGTGGCTGTCAGTCTCCTCTGGCACCCTCTCATAAGGACGCTTGCGGTTGCCTTAGGGCCGCCTGGATAACCCAGAATGATCTCCCCACGTCGAGGTCCTCAGCCTGATCCCAGCTGTAAAGGCACCTTTTCCGTAAGAGGTAACGTTCGCAGGCACCAGGGAGCGGGATATGGACATCTTCTGGAGAATCGTTTTCCAACCGAGATCAGGGACAGAAAGCAAACAAGCAAGCACGTAAAAAGGCTGAGGAACTACTGCTCGTGGTAGGTGTGTGAGGGTAAGGATACTGGGCCGGGACGGCTTTGGGGAGAAGGTGGCCAGGCAAGCCGTCTGAGGAGTCCGTGTGGAGGGTGGGCAGCATCCCTCTGGAGGCTGGAGAAGGCAGAGACTTGGTGACTTTGGGGAGGGGGACAGAGATAGCCAGCGTGGCTGGCGTGGGCAGAGGGGGCGGGGACTGGAGATGGGAGGGTGGAGCTGGACCTCGGCAGCCACAGAGAGGCTTTTAGAGTCTGTTCTCGGGAACTTCCCTGGTGGTCCAGTGGCTAAGACTCTGTGCCCCCAGTGCAGGGGGCCTGGGTTCGATCCCTGGTCGGGTAACTAGATCCTGTGTGCATGCCACAGCTAAAGGTCCCGCGTGCGGCAGCTAAGACCCGTGCAGCCAAATAAATAAATATTAAAAAAAACGATTCTGTTCTAACAACAAAGCAGCCGCGGGGCTTGGAGAAGGGAGGTGACGGGGTGCGACTTGCACTTTGGAAACTCTGCCTCTCTGTGAAGAAGGGAGCTGGGGGTGGTCGGAGTGGGACCACTGGAGGCTGTTGCCCTGGGCAGCTGAAAGGGTCCCAAGAGGGATGACTGGACTTGGCGGGGAGTGAAAGCCTGTGGAGACGTTAAGGAGCACTGATGCAGTGTCTTGTCCTGAGACTGGGGATGGGACGTGCTGAGGGCTGGGTGTGGGACTTGGGAGTCGAGGATGGTCTAGAAGCTGGCTTGGGGCTCTGGGTGGGGAAACAGGCTGCCCCTGCAGGGGGAGATGCAGAGAGAAGGGGGTGGGGGGAGTCAGGAGCTCTGGGTGGGGCCTGGTCGTGGGTGAGTAGCCTGGGAGGAGATGCCGTGTCCAGGGGCCGAGGGGGAGGCCGTCTGCCGTCCGGGCCGTGACCACAGGTGGAGATGGGCTACTGGGAGTGGGCAGCCCCCAGGGGTCCGATGGGCTCTGCGAGCTGGGTTGTCAGAGGAGACAGGACTGCAGGGGCAGGTGGAATGACCCAGCGTGAGCCCGGGTGGGAGGCCCCTGACCCTGAGGCCAGGGCTCGCCAACCTTTGCTGCTGTGGGGTTGGGTCCACTCAGTGTCCCCTACTTCTCACCTGAGGGCCCAGCCCAGCTTCTCAGCCCGGGCCTGGATGGTTCCCGTGGAGGGGTTCCCATCCTGGTAGCCCACCCAGCCCCTGGCTTTCCTCCTGGTGGGGGGAGAGGAAGGGACGGTGCAATTGTTAAACCCGCTGTGCTTCACGGCGCTGGGGACCGCGTGTGTGTGAAGTCTATTCTCACTGCGTCTCTATTTAAGCCTCACTGCTTCCACTTTTTCAGAGTGAGGAAATGGAGCCCCCCATATGCAGCAGAGCTGCAGGGCTGCGGCGTCCAGCAGTGATCTTCTCGCCCCACCGCATTGCCCTGCTGGGATGAGGGTCAGAGCCACCCTGCACCCCATCCCAGGGCTGGAGACCTCCTTCCAAATTCCACGCTTGCAGCCGAGAGCCATCAGGGGACACAAACAGGCCAGAGATCTGCCGCTTGCTAAACAACGAGCCTCAGTCAGGCCCAGGCTAGAAGCCGTTGTCTGTCTCCTGCTTTTGCCTCATTTTACATGTGGAGAGACTGAGGCAGGGACAGGGGAGTCACTGCCTCAAACCCAGGCCCCTCAGGATCCAGAGCCAGGCTTTCCCCTGCCCGGCTGCCCCTCCTCCACGCGAGGCCCCACTCAGCCCCGCGTCCACATCTGCAGAGACACGCTCTGGAGTCTGCAGATTCACCTGATTGTCTGGTTCCCCCGGGTGCAATTTGAGAACAAAGACAACAAGGAAAGCAAAGGCCGTGAAATGCGCTAGGGAAGGTCGTGGTTTAGAAAAAAGGAAAGATAAAATAAGGCACATCACCTTCCAGGGGCTCTCCCGCTAGCGTTTTGTCAGCAGTGACAAAAAGATTGGAGCCGGTCTGAAATTCCGTAGCCGCTCTGCTATTTAGGGAAGATCCCCCCGAGGGCATTCCGGGCCATCCCGACGCACGGAGATGAAGCCCGTAACCACTTCTGGGTTACTTCTGAAAGTCTTTGTTTTGGTTAAGAAACGCGGGGCTGCTGCAGGTCCTGGTGGGAACTAAGACCCAACAGGGGGCACTTTCGGGGCTTGTGAGGCGATGGCCCCAGCAGAGGGTTCATCAGAGGCTTCCACAGAGCTTCTGTCTCCTAAGTAATGGATCCACGGCACCAGCATCATGCCTCCTTTTGGGGTTTGCTCAGAGGGCACAGATTTGGGAGAAGTGCAGGAGGGGCTGACACAACCTAGGTCCCAGAGGTGAAGGTCTCTGGTCCTTGTTCCTATGGAGACAATATAATTATTTCAACCCCAAAGAGAGACTGGGTTACTTCTTTTCAGATCTGTATGCTTCTACTTCTTTGTTTTCCTTCTGCGATGACTAGACTCTTCAGGAGCCGTGAGAGCAGGAATCCCTGCCTGTTCCCAATCTTACGGGGAAAACCTTCGCCACCATTAAGTATGATGTTAGCTTAGAGTTCACGGACCTACCCTGAATAGCTCTATCCTGAGGTCCCTGAGAGTTTTATCAAATTTTGTCAAATGTCTTTTTTCTGTATCTAATTTTGTCAAATTTTGTCAAATGCTTTTTTTCTATACCTATTACCATGATCATGTGGGTTTTCTTCTTTATTCTGTTAATATGGTAAATTATGTTGACTGATTTTCGAATGTTAAACCATCCTTGTATTCTGAGATAAACCCTACTTAATCGTAATGCGTTATCCTTTTTAAACGTTGCTAGATTTCCTGAGTTGCTAGTATTTTGTTAAGGACTTTCTTGTCTACAATCATAAGAAATATTGGTTCATAGTTGTTCTTTTCTTTGTTCTTTTCTTGCAATGCCTTTGTCTGTTTTTATATTAGAATTACGCTGGCCTCATGAAACAAGTGGAGAAGTTTTCCCTGCTCTTCTGTTATCTGCAAGGGTTTGTGTAAATTTGATGTTATATCTTTTTGAATGTTTGATAGAATTCACCAGGGAAACCATCTAGGCCTGGAATTTTCTTGGAGGGAAGGTTTGTTCGTTTTTATTTTTAAAAAGCTCATTTTAAAGAATAGCTGTAGAAATATTCAGCTTTTCTCCTTCATCTAGTGTAAATTTGGGTATTTTTTGAGGAAGTTTTCCTTTTAACCAAAGTTGGCAGATTTTTTAGCCTAAAGTTACTCATGATATTCTTTTATTAATTTTTAATGTTAATGTTTTAATTTTTAAAATTAAAATTTTTAATTTTATCAGCATTAAGTTATTCATACTATCTTCTTATTATCTTGTTAAGGTCTGAAATAGCAACCATTCTTTTGTTCCTGACATTGATGATTTGTGTTTTTGCTCATTTGGGGGGTGGTTAGTCTTATGAAGGTTTTGCCAATCATTTGAGCTTTTTGACAAATCAGCTTTTGGCTTTGTTTATTGTCTCTATTTTTTTGTTGGTTTCTTATTTCTTTGATTTCTTTCCTTATCTTTATCTTTTCTCCCTTCTATTTACTCTGGGTTGATTTTGCTCTTCTTTTAGTTTTGAGGTAGAACCTTAAGTTATTGATTGTAGACCTTTATTTGTCTCTGATACAAGTCATTTAAAGCTATACATTTTCCTCAAAGCACTGCTTTAACTGCATCCCATAAATTGTCATAAGTTGTCCTTTCATTACCATTCAGTCTGAAGTATTTTCTACTTTTCATTGTGATTTCTTCCCTGAGCGTGGATTGTTTGGATGTTGTTGATGTCCATATGTTTGAGAGTTTCCTACATATCTTACTGTCCTTGATTTCTAAGTCAATTCCACTGTAGTCAGGAAACACACTCTGTCTGACATCAGTTCTTTTAAATTTATTTTGTTTGCTGTGTGGCTCAGAATATGGTCTGTCTTGGTGAGCAGACCATATGCACTTAGAAAAAACATGCATTTTTCCTTTGTTGGGTGTAGTGTTTGATACATATCGACTATGTCATGGTGATAGATAGTGTTGTTCAGGTCCTCCAAGTTTTGGTCTCCAGTTCTTCTGTCCATTGTCGGGAGAGGGGCATTAAAATATTTTACTACAATCTTGTATCTCTTCCTTCAGCTCTGTCAATGTTTGTTCCATGTACTTTGAGGCTCTGTTATTAGGTGCACAGACTTTCATGATTGTTTTGTCTTCCTGATGAATTGGCCCTTTTATCTTTATGAAATGTCCATCTCTGCCTTTGACAACGTTCTTTGTCTTGGTGTCTATTTTATCTGATATTAATAAAGCTACTGCAACTTCTTACTTGTATTCTTTACATGGTATATATATTTTCATCCACTTACTTTCAACCTGTTTTTGTCCTACTAAAGTGCTTCTCTTGTAGACGGTATAGAGTTGGGTCTTGCTTTTCAAAAAAAATCCGTTCTGATACTTCTAATAGGAGTACTTATTCTATTAATATTTAGGTGTATTATTTTATATTTCTTTTCTGGTTTTTCCTCTGTTTTTTGTTGTTTGTTATTGTTGTTCCTTTCCTACTTTATTTTGGATTATTTGTTTTAAAAATAATTCCATTATAATTTACCTTTGGACTTTTGAGTTGTATATCTTTGCATTGTTATGTTAGTGATTATTTAGCAATTACAATATACACTCCCTAATTTTTCACAGTCTGTGTGGGTTAATATTGTGCCACTTTACAACTCCATAGAGCCAGTCACACCTTCATCCTTCATGCTATCATTGTCAAATGTATTACTTCACATGCATTATGAACCCCAAAGACAGTGTCTACATTTTCCTTTAACCAGTCACATGTATTTTAAAGAAATTAAGGGGAAAGTGGTCACTTTCTATTGACCTCGATACTTGCCATTTCTGATACCCTTCATTCATTCCTGAAGGTCCACCTTTTCACCTGGCATCGTTACATTCTGCCCGAGGAACACCCCAGCATTCCATGTAGTGTAGCATCTGGAGAAGGGTGCTCTTTGCTGTCTTATAACAAAAAATGTCTTTATTCTTCATTGTTGAAGTTACTGTAATTGGATGTAAACGTCTTGGTTGAGAGGGTTTTCTTTAAGGATGCCCTCTAAGATGTCATTCATTTTCTCAGTGGTTTTTCTTTCTCTTCTTCACGTTGGGTGATTTCTATCAATATATTCAAGTTCACTGGTTCTTTCATCCGTCATCTCCAATCTGCTAATTAAGCCCATCTGGAAAATGTTTAAATTTGTGATGTTTTATTTTTCCATTCTAAAATTTCCATTTGGATATTTTTACATTTTCTATTTCTCTGCTTGATTTTCTATCTCTCCATTCATTGTGAGGGTATTTTCCTTCCCTCATTGACATAGTTAAAAATGGATACCCTTGTCCACTGATTTCACATTTGGTCCATCTCTGGATCTTTTCCTTGTAAACATACCACATTTTCCTGACTCTCCAATCGTTGATTACCCTTGGAAACTATTATTGCTTTATTCTGAGACTTTGGATTCTGTTGTATGGTTCCAAAAGGTTGGTATTTTTAAGGCAGTTTGCTTGGTTAGACCCAAACTGTGAACTCTGTCACATCTGTGGATGACTGAGCCTAAATCCAATTCACCTGCTCTTCGTCTGCTCCACGGGCGTGTGCTTCAGGGTCCAGCCACAGTCCCAGATTGAGCCTCTGTATAGAATATGGGCTCCCCTTCCTAGCTCTCTCCTTTTCTGGGTTCCCCTCACTCTTGTCTGGGCTCCTTCCTGAGATTTGTTCCCACCAGAAGGACAGCAGGTTTTCCCATAGGAGTGCTAGCTGCCCGGCACTGACCCTGTGACCAGGGCCACCCTGTGGACACAGCTGCAGAAACCTAAGACTCTCCACACACACTCACTGCCTCCCCTTTCTTATTCCCATCCTATATCTGCCTGCTTACGCCCACTCCCCAGAGCTTTCAGCTCGCCTCATGGACCTGGAAATTTGTCTCTTGCCCACTCTGTCTGGTCCGCAGTGCTGCTTCCCTCCTCACTGTCTTTACATCTGTTCCCCTGGGTGGCCTGAGGACCCTGAGTATTCTGAACTCAGTGCAACAGGTCCAGTGTTATAGCAGGAGTGGGGGAGAGGTGTCGTGGGGCCAGGCCTGTCTAAAGCTTGTGACACAAGGTCAGAGGGCACACAGCAGGCAGAGCAGGGGTCAGTGGGCAGGCAGAGCCA